ATAACTTTTTTCACTAGCAGCCTGGACGCATGCAAATGTCGACTCATTTAGTGGTAGCAAATTCAACTTTTGCGACCACCGGTTCAAAAAGAAAAATTGAGGTTATGTACGTAATGTTTGATGGGATTATTTCTTAAAAAATGAACAAATGTGTGCTACAAACATTACTTGAATATACGCATGGTAGTTGGTAGACGGTAGAAGATAAAATGATTAACTCAGCGACAAGTATAAATGGTTTTCTTTGTGTTGAAGATTTAGATTAAGTTTGATTAGAAATCAAAACAAAATCATGTTGTGTCAAAAAATTGAACGTTTATTTTTTCAGTTTATTGTCTTATGGTTTCTGCTAGTGAAAAAAATAGTATATTAACCACGGTTGCAAAGCCACTTCTAGACCTCGCGCTTCAGAGCCCTCGACGCTGCGCGTCTCGGGTTCTAATTTGCGCTCGGTCTAGAATGCTTGGCTCTGCAACCTTGGCTAATAATATACTATTAAGCCACTTTTTATTTTTTATTCTCCTAGTATAAGCTAGGAAGTATTGTAATAAGTTCTTTTGCCCGATTTATATGCTTTATTTCTTGGCTTCCACATTTAGATTAAAAAATATATATATAAATTATAGAAGAAAATTTGTATTATTACTTCTCGAGAAGTAAAGTAAGGAAGTATTGTAATCGAGTCCACAGGGCGACTAGTTGCTTTCATATTTTCTTGATGACCATCATAGTGTACGAAAAAATGGGTTTCCTGTTTCTGTCTGTCTGTCCGCCTGTCTGTCTCTGTGTTCGCCGTCTGTGACGATTTTTGTAAAAGAGATAATCTCTGAAACTACTCGACCGATTGTTGTGAAATTTTATATGTGTATTACGAATATCAAGCAAGGAGTAAAACGCTAATTAAACTTTGTTCATTCGATAGACCAGTGGTGGGTTTGTCACCCCCACCCTGCTCAGGTCTCACTTGTAATTTTAAGATAGAACGTAATAAACCATCGAAGGGACAACAAGCCTATTACTCATCCCTTCAAACGTTCCAACATTTTTGGTCCAATCGAGCCTGATGGAACCATCCATCTGAATCAGCAAAAACAAATAAAACCCGATCAAATGATCCAGGCGTTCTTATAAGACCCGATCAAATGATCCAGGCGTTTTTATTCAAATCACATCTTCACGGCGTCGACACATTCGTAGTGTGTGTGTAAAAGTGAAGGTGTAAGCGATCCAGACGATCCAAGAAAACATCCACCCGATTCACGTGTACGGAGTGCGTCGGGAAGAAAACCAGGCGAGCCAAGAAGAAATCCAGTCGACTCTCACTCCCGGAATTTCCCAAGAAGAAATCCAATCGACTCTCACTCCCGGAATTCGTCAGGAAGAAATCCACGCAACGGTGACGCAAAAAGAATCCATCCGATTTCCACGTCCGGAGTTCGTTGGGAAGAAAAGCAGCTGCCGATCCCGAGCCCCGAGCCATCTCAGCGTCCACACCGTGTCCGAGACGTTCAGGTCAGATCCTTCCTTTTTTTAATTACCTTAAAGCGCAGTTTAAGCAAGCCTCAATTTTTGTTAAATATTCGATTTTGTTGCATACTAGGTTTATATTTTTTGTATTTATTATTTTTACAAAATGGCTTTGGATGAGTTAAAAACACAGCGAAAGGTCATTAAATATAGCATTACTCGACATCAAACTGCGGTAAATGCCTTTAAAGAAGGAAGTAATGTTGTAACTTTAGAGACTAGACTTTCAGACCTGTCGGAATTATTTAAAAAATACAATGCAATTCAAAGCGATATTGAATCGCTTCAGTTTAAGGAATTATCGGATAGAGATGATTTTGATGAGGCAGCCTGGGACGCGGGAAACGATAAAGAGCGCACCGGGGTAGAAAATCAGTATTATGAGGTAGTGGCGAAAATTAAGACGTTTTTGTTGAAAACTGATACGTGTACGGGCCCTGGAGGGTCAACTACAGTAATAAATATTAATAAATCTGCATCCGATTCTAATGAAAACGTGACAAATTTAAAACCGTTGCCTTTACCAGTCTTTTCAGGAAAACTTAGCGAATGGTATAACTTCTATGATTCGTTTAAATCATTAGTGCATGACGATAAAACTATTTCGGACATTCGCAAATTTCATTATTTGCGCGGTTGTCTTAAAGATGAAGCGTTCAGAGCTATTGAATCACTCACAATTTCCAATGATAATTATGTAACTGCACTAGAACTACTCATTAAACGCTTCGAAAACAAGCGGCTAATCGTAAACGAGCACGTTTTAAATATCTTAAATATTACACCGTTAATGAAATCATCTCATGTAGAATTGCGCCAACTTTTAGATGCGGTAAACAATAACATTGCAGCGCTCAAAGTTTTAGAATTACCGGTGGACCAGTGGGACGCCCTTTTGATACCTATTATAACTGAAAAATTAGACTATGCCACCAAACGGGAATGGCAAACAGTTCTAAACAAGGAGGTTCCAAAATACGTGGATTTTAACGAATTTTTAGAAAAACGATATCAAATTCTTGAAGCATTAACCACCATCAAACCGCAAATTTCAAATAACTCAAAACCAACAAATACATTCAAGAATAACAACAATAGTAATAATAATAAGTATGGCAATAACAGATCATTCTCTAATCACCTAGTGTACAAGCCCACTTGTAGTTTTTGTAAAAAAGGCCACAGTATTTATCAGTGTGACGATTTTTTGAAGCGGACTGTAGTTGAAAGACTTAACGAAATATCAAAATTACAAATATCAGAAATGTTAAAGGTCCTTCACTTATTAGTCTGCGTCTGCTGGAAGTAAGCACACCTTTTTTATGGTTCGTTTGTAAACCCCAGTCGATGTTTTCACTGTAACCACCCTCACTACACCATCTAGCCCCGGATGAAGTTGGAGCACTCGTCCCAGTTTCCATTTCAATGGTGGCAAATTGTCCTCGATGATTACCACCAAGGAACCGACAGCGACTTGGGATGTGGAGGATTGTTGACCTTTAGGGCGCCTTTGTAGTTCGGACAGATACTCCTGGGTCCACCTCTTCCAAAACTGTTGGTGGAGCTGTTACACCACTACCCATCAATCGTCTCTCACGATGGCAGCGGGTGCAGCAGCTCCACCAACAGTTTTGGAAGAGGTGGACCCAGGAGTATCTGTCCGAACTACAAAGGCGCCCTAAAGGTCAACAATCCTCCACATCCCAAGTCGCTGTCGGTTCCTTGGTGGTAATCATCGAGGACAATTTGCCACCATTGAAATGGAAACTGGGACGAGTGCTCCAACTTCATCCGGGGCTAGATGGTGTAGTGAGGGTGGTTACAGTGAAAACATCGACTGGGGTTTACAAACGAACCATAAAAAAGGTGTGCTTACTTCCAGCAGACGCAGACTAATAAGTGAAGGACCTTTAACATTTCTGATATTTGTAATTTTTATTTATTTATGTCTCAAATTTTGAAGCCTATCCTTCAAGGGGGGCGGTATGTTCATTCGATAGACCAGTGGTGGGTTTGTCACCCCCACCCTGCTCAGGTCTCACTTGTAATTTTAAGATAGAACGTAATAAACCATCGAAGGGACAACAAGCCTATTACTCATCCCTTCAAACGTTCCAACAAACTTTGTCTAATCATCTTCACTAATAATGTGAAGACGTCACCTTAAAATTGTAATGAGCAAATGGGTTTTACATTGTATAAAATAACATAGTCCTACACATGTAGTTTATGAACCCGTGTTGTGTGCTGATAAATCACTAACTAAAACACTTGTTTAGCCAACTCCATAAAAATTTTGCTTAGGTCACTTCCAATGTTTGTAAGTAAATTCTGTTTAAAGTACAGGTATAAAATTACATTTTAGAAAAGATCTTAGCAAGTAAATCACCCAAACAACCATTGGATAACGTTTCAGTTTAAATTGTTTAAAATATTTTTTTTTAACTTAGCACTTTTTAAATTCTATTCTATTATAGCACTAAGTTGAATTTTCTGATCCCAATTTTTTTGATCTTCATTTACGAATTTCGAGAGATAGTCGAGAAGTGTTCTGTTAAAAAGTTTTACAGTTTTTGATGTTCAAAATTCTGCAGATGGACTTGCACAATAAACTCTGACGAAGGAGGTATATTTGAAGCAAAAACTGGTAATATTTCTATTGTTACATTTTTACAGTTATCACGAAATATAATCTTCACTCACTGCTACTGTGAAAGTTTTATGCTTTATTTTGAAGCGACCAATACCAAATTCAAGTTCTTCGAGTTTTTTATTAAATTCCGCTTCAACACTAGTTAATTTATGGTCTATTTTTGAAATTTCCTCTGTAAGACGTTCATTTAATACGGTCATTCTTTGTTCACAAACTTTATTTAGCTCTGCACCCTAATTTTGTCTTCTAAAAGATTCTCCATCTTAGTATTAATTTCAACCTTAAGAACTTCTAAATTGTTTTTCATTCCTGTCGTCAGTTTTTCCTCGTATCTTCTTGAATCTTTCTCATCATTTCCATTAAATGTTGAAATTGCTATGATTCATCTTCGTATCCATCCTTCTCATCAGCGGCATTAAAAACTTTTGCGAAAATCCTACTTCTGACACCAATTGTTTCGTGGGTTTCTAATAACTAATAACAATTCATTAGGGAAATAAGTATAAATTTGGCACATTTATTTTTCATGGAACTTGTTTTTATTGTTAGTCCAATAGGTAACTCAAGTAAATACACTGCAATTTAATACAGGGCGTTTAATTTACGTGACTGACACAAAAGGGTCAGAACTCAAGATAAAACTTATATATACTTAAAATATATTTTTTTGGCTGACAAATATTTGTGTTTACCTATCACTAAAAACGACTTTTGTGATTATAATATTTTATAATTACAAAGTATTGTTGCCTATCTTTTTGTCAAGATGACCCTACAAACTTACATTATCGCTAAAATTATATAAATAAGAGCGCTTTTACTTTAGGCCTGTAGTCTGTTGCACTACGAAGACGATTTTTTAAGACCCCCTCTCTTAAGAACCTGAATCAAGTACCACAAAAACGGTCAAGATGGCACTTAATTTAGTCAATATTAAAACTATATATGCCGAAGACCCAAAACTTGAAGAAAAAGACGTCAAATCCCTTGTAAAATGGGTTCAAAACCAACCTCATTTACCCAAAATTGGCGGTAAGTGTAAACATCTTTCTATACACCAAAGTCCAACCATTTTCCAGATTTTGAGGCGATCTTCTTTCTAAAAAAAAGCGGCTATCGTCTTGGTCATGTTCAAACCACGGTTGACACATTCTTCACTTTGAAAAATTTATGGCCTGACGTGTTTCTAGAAAGGAATTTTGCCAAAACTCCCCAGCAACAAGGAATTTTGGACACAATGTAAGTTTCCCATTTAATCAATTTTTTCAAACATTGTGTTCCTCAGGGTAATGATGGTGCTGCCCAAAAGAACACCTGAGGGTTATGCTATCATTTTTATGAAACCTTTGAGCCCAAATATGATTAACTATAAAATCGAAACTTTGTACAAATATGTGTATATGGCGTGCTTGTTGGATGTGTACCAAAAAGGACCCGCAAATGGACATATAATTGTTTATGATATTCAGCACTTCCCTGAGTGTTTCATACCCAAAATGGAGTACAGTTTTTTTAAGAAATTTTTTTACTATGACTACGAAGTCATCCCAATTATGCAAGTAAAAGAAATGCATATTTATAACACGAATCCTAGAATGGACGAAATTGTTGCTGTTTTCGAGGCTACTGCTCTCAAACCACTTTTACCGTTGATAATAGTCCACGAATCGTTGGACGATTTGATGAAATACGTACCCAAAGAGTACTTGCCTCAAGATTGTGGTGGTTTATTGGAACCAGTGGGTACTTTGCATGGTGAGATTGTGTGTATTGTAAGTATTACTGATTTTGATTTTGACTTTTAGAGAAAAACAAGAGCCAATTGTTGAAAAATGGTGAATTCTTTGATTCGTTTGATCAGCTGGTGGTAGACGAGAGTAAAAGACCAGCGAACAACACGATTGCTCAGAACATGTTTGGCTTTCAGAAGAAGTAACCAAAAAACATATTTTTTGAATTATTATATTGCATTTTTGACTGGCACCGGCTAATATGGTACCTATTTACAATGAAATTTTATCAATGTATTTTAATTGTGCATGTTGTTGACACTGAGTGTATTTTTAAATAAATTATCCATTATCGCATGACTCATTATCTTTGCAAATGTATTTTTTATTTCATGGATGAATGATTTTTTATCAGTTTAATAACAAGCCAATTAATATATAATTATTATTGCCTGGAAGAAATATAACTCAGGGAAAAGGACAAAAAACGAATTTTGGTAGACATCATGGCACTTTTTGAAGGTGCTTTTGATGGTTAAAAATTCATTTTCAAAATGATGGATTTTCTTTTTTAATGTATTGGACTCTGTCTGTTGACTACAATGTGGTCGATATTGTTGTTCAATGAACTGCAACTAAGTGCTCTTCACTGACCTCAGTTTGATTGTTCTTCATATCGCCACTAAGAACATTTATATAAGGCGGCAATTATTGATTTTTGCCTACTTCTTTCTTATTCCATGGTTCATCATTGTCTTCAGCTATGGCGCCTCATTTTATCAATGTTGAAACCTTGTATTCTCAAGATGAAAATCTAAAGAAAAAAGAAGTAAACGAATTAATAGCATGGACAGACCAGCAAAAACATCTGCCTAAAATCAACGGTAAAACAACAATTCTTCATTACTTCTATTCTTAGTTCCATTTTCAGAAATCCAAGCGATTTTGTTTCTTCGAAGATGCAACTACCAAAGTGAAGCTTCCAAAACCTTGATTGATTTATACTTCACTGTTAAGACTTTGTGCCCTGAACTGTTTTCAGGAAAAAATCCTTTAAATTCGCCATTGAAAGAATACTTGGACGTAATGTAAGTTTCTTTAACATCTACTTCTCCATAAAACTAAATTTCCAATTAGACTTATTACTGATCTGAGCAAAACAACACCCGAAGACTACACCATTATCTTTGGTAAAATTACAAGTGCGAATCCAAGCGAGTTTAATATTTCCTTGGGAGCGAAATATTTGGACATGGTTACTATGTCGACTATTTATCAAAAAACACCTTCCAAAGGATATCTACTTGTTGTCGATTTGACGGAATTTACTCTGGAGGTTTTGGCAAACATGGATCTTGTCGTTCTTAAAAAAACCCTTTTCTACATGCAAAAATGTTTGCTACTGAACTGGAAAGGTATACATTTTTTCAACAATGCGCCGATTGGTAATCGATTCCTTGGAATGCTCAAACCTTTTCTGGACGAATTTCAAAACATTGTAACCTTCAATGATACTTAGAGAACAATTAATAACACCTATGTTTTAGATACATTTGCACGATTCCGTCGACGATTTAATCAAATATGTTCCAAGAGACTGCTTGCCTGAAAATTATGGCGGTTTGGAGGACAGTGTCTCGGTGTTGCAAGGTAGGTAGTACTTTTGGCGAAATTTAGACTTAATTTGAACAATCGTAGAAAAAATTAAGACAAAGTTGGGTGAAAACGTCGCCTTGTTTGACTGGGAAGAAGAACAAAAAGTGGACGAAAGTAAGCGGTCTGGCGGACCCAAGACAGTCAACGACGTTTTCGGAGTTGAAGGAACTTTCAAGAAATTAGAACTGGACTAAAATTTTTGGTTACAATAAATTGTTACCACAGTAATAATGTTTTATTTGTCAAGTAACAACAAAACAAATTATCGATTTTACAACCAAAAATTAGTGCAAGGTTATGTCTATTTTGGAAAACTAATTAAATAATTAGCCAAAAAGAGATTTCACAGGATATGCAAAGGCCACATAATTATAAATATTTTCTTCGTGTTATCTGCGATAAAAAACAATAATCAAGTACTTTTTATGCAATTAGTTGCAATCATTCTTGTTATCACTGAATAATTGGACATGGATTTTAATATGTTTATCCGAAACAGTATTTAAAAAAATCGTAAAACCGGATTAAACTAGTTGCAGAATCACACAATAAATGCTGATTTACGAACATTTACTTTTCTTCTAAGTTCTACTAGATCATTATCTATACCCTCCGAAAAATTAGTGACGTCATCCAATAATATTTCCAGTAGGTGGAAACGGGGAACCTACTTTCAACATTCTAGGATCCATGAAACAAACTATATACACCGAAGATACAATCTTCCACATATCTTTATTTAAGTTCAGTTTGATCGACCTTTAATATGATATCAGACAATACACGATTATTTTTGAATAAATATCAAGAATAATCGTGAATTAGTGTAGTCTTTATTTTTGTCTGTTCGAATGGCTATGAATTTAATAGACGTTGAAACAGAATATGCCAAAGACACAAATCTCAAAAAGGAAGATGTCAAAATTCTTCTAGAATGGGTGAACAAGCAGCCACATTTACCCCTAACCTCTGGTATGTAATTTGTACAAATAAACACAATCTGTTGATGTACTCTTTCAAGAACTACAGGTGATATTTTTCTTCAAAAAATGCCACTATAGCATCTATGCTGCTAAAGCAACAATCGACACATTCTTCACTACAAAAAAACTATGGCCTGATGTACTTCTAGAAAGAAATTTTGCAAAATCGCCTCTGAAACCAGTTCTGGATACCATGTAAGTTAAAAATTGTCAAAAATTTGTAACTAATAAATGTATTCTAAACAGACTTTACTGCGTGCTACCAAAAACGACACCCGAAAATTACAAAATCATTTTCCTGAAAACAATCAACCCAAACGTGGTGGACTACAGTTTCGAGACTTTGTTTAAATATCTGGATATGAGCTGCATGTTGGACTTGCATCAAAATGGTAGTTCGAAAGGACACTTGATTCTTTTTGACATGGAAGGATTTCCTCGGGCGTACGTTCCAAAGATTAGTACTCTCACATTCAAGAAATATTTCCACTACATGCAAGAAATCATGCCCATAATGGAACTCAAAGGTTTTCACTTTGTCAACGTTGTACCATTTATGGATGAAATACAGACTGCTTTTGAACCCGGTTTACCAAAATCGCTTCTATCTCGAGTGAGAACTTTAATTAACTTATTAACTAAATACTTGATTACTTTGTAGGTTTTTTTGCATGAATCTGTTGAGGATTTAATGAAGCATATACCAAGGGAATGTCTGCCGAAAGACTACGACGGCTTGATGGAGTCTGTAGCAGTTTTGCATGGTATGAAACTCTGAAGGTACAATTTTGAACTGTATGATTTTCATTCTAGAAAAAACCAAACGTAGTTTGCTGGAAAATTCAGAGTTTTTTGAGTGGCAGGACAAGCAGATAGTTGATGAAAGCAAGAGACCAAATAAAAATACAACTCACGGATACATTTTCGGGTTCGGGAATGAGTTTAACGGTGACAATGAATCCGGCTTTGTTCATTTTTGACTTTTGTTAAAAAAATGAGTTTTGCAATTATAATAAAAGTAGACTAGTGAAACGTGCTGTGTTTTGGAGTGCTCCTTAATTTTCTTGATTTTTGATTTCATGCTGTTACCCACACAATTGAGATGGGGTGGGTGGGCGGCATTTATAATTTTTGACGAGAAATTAAAACATGTTTTTACAAATTGCCTTTTTGTTTTAATATGTGTAGACTTCTTTTCACAACAAGAAACTTAAAACATTTTTAAAATGGAAAACTTGTTTAAGAAAATATCAATTTGGCAATTAGGCTCCGCCCTATTAATTGCAAAACCCATATTTTCTTGCATACACCATTTTAACCATGTTTTAAATTTCTTGTTCTGAAAAGATGGCTACGCATATAAAAAAAAGGCAAAATATTATGACCGCCCACCCTCTCTATATCAATTCTGATGAACCAATGAACTAATGCTCTAGATAGATCTCCAATTAATTTAATGTGCGGTTTATTTAATTGTATTTCTAATAACTGTGATATAATGATTCATTAATTTTGATCTCTGCTAACTTGCAGTCTTATAAGTAAGCATTAGCCCCGCCCACCCGTCCAGCTCTTGATTCTAGTGGCTGACTCTTAATTAATGGAAACATTACTGTTTTATTACAATCTTAGACAAATATGTAACACTGTCGATAAAAACAAATTGATAAATCGTAAACAAAGCATCTAGAAAGTATTAAGTTGGTATTAAGCAAACACGTCAAACGTAAGAATTACATTTAAAAAGCAATATTACCGATGCTCCTCCCACTCACTCAAGCTCCACCTTATTAAATCGTTTCATTGGTTCGGAGACAAGGGCGCCGTTTGAAACTGTACTACAATGTGGCTACTTTATATGATATTTTTATATTTCTATATAAAAATTGACGGCATGGTCGTTTTTCGAATAAGTGTCAGAATTCGATTAAAAAAAAATTGTTCTAACAGATTCTATTATTTATCAATATAAATCCAACTTCCATGTCAGAACCAATAAAAAGGGTCTACAGAACGGAATAAGGGTGGGTGGGTGGGGCTACAGCGTTTTAAGCAAACAATAGCCCCGCCCACCCGCCCACCTCTTGATTCTAGTGACTGATAATTAATAGAAAATTATTATGTTATTAGAATCTTGGGCAAATATGTTATACCGTTGACAAACAAATATTTAAATCGTAAACAAGGTATCTAGAAAGTATTAGCTGTTATTAAATAAAAATATCAAATGTGAGAATTACATTTAAAAAGCAATATTACTGATGCTCCTCCCATTCACTCAAGCTCCACCTTAATAAATCGTTTCATTGGCTCGGAGACAAGGGTGCCGTTTGAAATTGTACTACAATGTGGCTATTTTATATTATGATTTTTTCAATATTTCTATGTAAAAATTGACGGCATGGTCGTTTTTCGAATAAGTGTCAGAATTCGATTAAAAAAAAATTGTTCTATACAGAATCTATTATTTATCAATTTAAATCCAATTTCCATGTCAGAACCAATAAAAAGGGTCATGAGAACGGAATAAGGGTGGGTGGGTGGGGCTACAGCGTTTTAAGCAAGCATTAGCCCAGCCCACCCGCCCACCTCTTGATTCTAGTGATTGATCTTAATGCTGTTAGTTCATGGAAAATTATTATCTTATTAAAATCTTGGACAAATATGTTGTAGCGTTGGCAAAAAAAAAAAATAAATCGTAAACATGGTAACTAGAAAGTATTAAGCTGGTATTAAATAAAAATATCAAATGTGAGAATTACATTTAAAAAGCAATACTACTGATTCTCCTCCCACTCACTCAAGCTCCACCTTAATAAATCGTTTCATTGGCTCAGAGACAAGGGCGCCGTTTGAAATTGTACTACAATCTGGCTATTTTATATGATTTCTTTTAATAGTTCTATGTAAACGTTGTCGGTAAGGTCGTTTTTCGAATAAATGCTAAAATTGGATTAAAAAAAATTGTTCGATATTGATTCTATTATTTTTCAATTTAAATCCAACTTCCACCTCAGAGCCAATAAAAAGGGTCATGAAAACAAAATAAGGGTGGGTGGGTGGGGCTGCAGTCTTATTTGCAAGCAATAGCCCCGCCCACCCGCCCACCATTTGTTTCTAGTAACTGATCTTAATACTGTAAATTAATGGAAACATTATTATCTTATTAGAATCTTAGGCAAATCCGTTGGTATAAAAATTGATAAATTGTAAAAAATTATCTAGGAAGATTTAAGTTGGTGTTAAATAAACACATCAAACGTGAGAATTACATTCAAAAAGCAATATTACTGATGCTCCTCCCACTCACTCAATCTCCACCTTAATAAATCTTTTCATTGGCTCGGAGACAAGGGCGCCGTTTGAAATTGTACTGCAATGTGACTACTTTATAGGATTTTTTTATATTTCTATGTAAAAATTGACGGCATGTTCGTTTTTCGAATAAGTGTCAGAATTGGATTAAAAAAATTGTTCTATACAGAATTTATTATTTATCAATTTAAATCCAACTTCCAACTCAGAACCAATAAAAAGGGTCAACAGAACGGAAAAAGGGTGGGTGGGTGGGGCTATACTCTTTTAATCAAGCAACAGCCCCGCCCACCCGCCCACCTCTTGATTCTAGTGGCTGATCGTAACACTGCTAATTAATGGAAAATTATTAGCTTATTAGAATCTTGGGCAAATATGTTATACCGTTGGCAAAAAAAAATTAAATCGTAAACAAGGTATCTAGAAAGTATTAAGCTGTTATTAAATAAAAATATCAAATGTGAGAATTACATTTAAAAAGCAATGTTACTGATGCTCCTCCCACTCAAGCTCCACCTTAATAAATCGTTTCATTGGCTCGGAGACAAGGGCGCCTTTTGAAATTGTACTACAATGTGGCTACTTTATATGATTTTTTATATTTCTACGTAAAAATTGACGGCATGGTCTTTTTTCGAACAAGTGCCAGAATTCGATTAAAAAAAATTGTCCTATACAGAATCTATTATTTATCAATTTAAATCTAACTTCCATGTCAGAACCAATAAAAATGGTCATCAAAACGGAATAAGGGTGGGTGGGTGGGGCTGCAGTCTTATAAGCAAGCAATAGCCCTGCCCACCCACCCAGCTCTTGATTCTAGTGGCTGATCTTAATACTGTTAATTAAGGGAAAATTATTATCTTATTAGAATCTTGCGCAAATATGTTATACCGTTGACAAAAAAACGATAAATCGTAAACATGGTATCTAGAAAATATTAAGCTGTTATTAAATAAAAATATCAAATGTGAGAATTACATTTAAAAAGCAATATTACTGATGCTCCTCCCACTCACTCAAGCTCCACCTTAATAAATCGTTTCATTGGCTCGGAGACAAGGGCGCCGTTTGAAATTGTACTACAATGTGGCTACTTTATATGATTTTTTTCAATATTTCTATGTAAACCTTGTAGGCATGGTCGTTTTTCGAATAAGTGCCAAAATTAGCCAAATACACTGACGTCATCCGAGGTCACCAAGATGGCAGCGTTTGACAACTAGCCGGTTTTCTCATAAGAGTCAATGCTAATATCTTCGGAATTCATTTAAATTTGAGAGTGTGTCAACTGTGTTTTTATGGTTTGGTAAGTTTGTTACAGTTTCTACACTGTGTAGATATCTGTAAAACGCACCATAACGTTTGAATAGGCTTAAAAAATAATGTTTTCCAATGTGATGTACAGGTTAACTTCGCTGCATCTTATATCATTTGTTTTGCAAATTAATTCTTTGTTAATGTACATCAATGTTTTTTAAATACACTAGCATCTTAATATTATAATATTTTGTATTTTAGGAGAAAATGCCTAAATTTTGTGCTGTTGTGGGTTGCGCGAATCGAAGCACCAGAAATGCGGACAAATTTTATTTTCCTTTCCCAGCAATTAGCAACAATAAAGGTAAATATATACAGGATGGGAAAAAAAGCGGAAGCTTTGGTTAAAAGCCTTGAAACGAGTGGATTTAACGAATCCAAAGTAAAGTATTCCTATGTTTGTTCGGATCATTTTATTTTAGGTACAGTAACTACCTATTAGATTTACAGTTTCTAATAAATTACTACATTGGTGCTCTTTTAGGTAAACCTGCATATTTGTCGGATGTGGACCATCCTGATTATGTTCCATCACAAAATTTAGGATATCAAAATAAATCCACTCATAATACTTGTAATTTTGAAAGACACAGTTGTTTAAAAAAGAGAAAACTGAATAAATGCCTCTAGACTTTTGAATGCACGAATTTCATTGTGGGTTATTTTACTTATTCCAAAAATAAAAAAGTTTAGAATGGTATTTATTGTTATGGTAGGGACATGGTCTAAACACAAATTAAAATCACTTGCACTCATTGTATAAGGATCTCCGCCGTTTAAATTGTTTAACTTTTGTACATATCTGTTTTTCTCTTTGAAAGAAAGACATCGTGCATAATCACTTAAATTATCCATACTTTAAAAACAAATCACACACCTTCACTTAAACCCGTCGCATTAACCTCAAACGAAAATATTAATTTCCGATTTACCGCTTTTTAAAACACACGGATGTATTTTGGGTGACGAGGAATTCAGACCAAAACAGCGTTCTGTATTTTTATTTTTATTATGTATTTTTAAACTCAAATCGCCAAAAAAAAGCACCCTGATACACAAAAAAGATATGAAAGAAGCTTTTCACGTGTTTATTTTCTAGATAAATACCTACACTTTTAAATGAAATGCGAAAATGTTAACATTGCCACTTATGGAGTTTCACGGCGCTTGTCAAACGCTGAGTTCCCGCCACAGCGTGACGTCACGTGTTATTGGCTAATTGGATTTAAAAAAATTGTTCTATATAGATTCTATTATTTTTCAATTTAAATCCAACTTCCATCTCAGAGCCAATAAAAAGGACCATAAAAATAAAATCAGGGTGGGTGGGTGGGGCTGCAGTCTTATAAGCAAGCGATAGCCCCGCCCACCCACCTTCCATTTGTTTCTAGTGACTGATCTTAATACTGTTAATTAATGGAAACATTATTATCTTATTAAGAAGAAGAATCTTAGGCAAATCCGTTGGTACAAAATTGATAAATTGTAAACAAAATATCTAGGAAGTTTTAAGTTGGTATTAAATAAACACATCAAACGTGAGAATTACATTCGAAAAGCAATATTACTGATGCTCCTCCCACTCACTCAAGCTCCACCTTAATAAATCGTTTCATTGGCTCGGAGACAAGGGCGCCGTTTGAAATTGTACTACAATGTGCCTACTTTATATGATTTTTTTTATATTTCCATGTAAAAATTGACGGCATGGTCGTTTTTCGATTTGGATTAAAAAAAGTGTTGTATACAGAATCTATTATTTGTCAATTTAAATCCAACTTCCATGTCAGAACCAATAAAAAGGGCATCAAAATGGAATAAGAGTGGGTGGGTGGGGCTACAGCCTTTTAAGCAAGCAATAGCCCCACCCACCCACCTCTTGATTCTAGTGACTGATCTTATTACTGTTAATTAATGGAAAATTATTATCTTAATAGAATCTTGGACAAATATGTTATACCGTTGGCAAAAGAAAGATAAATCGTAACATGGTACCTAGAAAGTATTAAGCCGGTATTAAATAAAAATATCAAATGTGAGAATTACATTTAAAAATCAATATTACTGATGCTCCTCCTACTCATTCAAGCCCCACCTTAAAATATCGTTTCATTGGCGCGAAAACAAAGGTGGCGCTAAATTGTACTACATTGTATCTATATTATATGATTTTTTAAATATTTCTGTGTAAACGTTGACGACAAGGTCGTTTTTCGAATATGTTAAAATTTTATTTAAAAAAAGTAGTTATTTGGGGTTTCTTTCTAATGAAATCAATAAATACTTATTATTATTATTATCATCATTCATGTTGTTTGGTTTTCGGTAAAATCTCCGTTTAAAAAGACGACAGTTGTTTACATTTTTTTCTTAAAGACTTCATAAGTTTAATGAGCGAAGATAATGTTAATCGTTTGTTATGACATTTTTTACCAACAACTTTTATTTATTTCGATTTATTCGTGCCTTGTTTTCCATTTTCTTGTTTCAGAACACACTCTCGAAACAATAATAAGAATTTAACACACATAGTGATGGAGAGAAATTTCTTCGACGTCGAAATCGACTACGACGTAGACAACAACTTGAAGAAACAAGACGTCTGGAAACTCATAGAGTGGACAAAAGAAGAACCTCATCTACCAGAAATTAACGGTAAAATTAATAATATAGTGACAGTGTTCCCAATTCACAATATTGATATTAATATCAGAGGCACAAGCAATTCTCTTCCTCCAAAGATGGCAATACCAGAACGAAATCACTAGAGATGCAGTTGATTCTTACTTCACATTTAAGACTTATTGCCCAGAACTACTTGTCAGAGGCGACTTAAGTAGTTTAGATGTAAGTTTGATTACACTATTACCGAAAACACCAGACGGAACGAACATAGTGTACATTAGATTATTGGATGTAGATGCAGATAAGTTTGATCTTGCCACTCAAATGGTACATCTAGATATGACCCTTATGTCAAATCTTTATAAAGAGGGCAATTTCAACGGATACGTGGTGATCGTAGATATGCTAGACGTCCCTTTTAATGTGATATCTAAGCTCGATCCACTCCAATTAAAGAAAATTTTGTTTTATTTACAAGAAGTGGTTCCATTACGACTCAAAGCGATCCACTATGTTCACACTAAGTCATTTATGACTCAATTTTTAAATTTGGTGAAAGCTCTAGTGAAAAGTGATATTTTGGTAAGTGATGTAGACACTGTTAACAGGATGTTGAAACGACAATTCTAGGTCACTGAGAACCATTCCATTGAATGTTTAGCAAAATATTTTCCAAAAGATTGTCTACCTGAAGAATATGGAGGTTCAGCTGGGAATTTAACCGTTTTACATGGTACATAGGTACAAAAAAATTGACAAAATAATCTATGGTTTCAGTTTTAGAAAAAAGTAAACGCAGATTCTTAGAAAATGCTGCGTTGTTTAATTGGGAAGATAGACAAGCGGCTGACGAAAATAGAAGACCTCCTGATAACAAAATATTGACGAACATTGTCACTTTTTTCCACAACAAATAGGTTCAGATATTACTAAAATAATAATAGTATAATTTGCCAAAAATAACTTTCGCAACAAAATATTTAACAATGTTTTGATTTACATAACATACCCTTAACCTATGACCCAAACTTCTGTAATCTCTATATCCAGCTGTTTCCATATTTGAATAACTACTATAATTAGTTCAATTGCTTAGTTGCGTCCGAGCCAACGAATTTCTCACCCAAAATGAAACTCCTCAAGCTCGTCCTAGTAGTGTTTTTACAAATCTACACAAGAGTTAGTGCTAAATCCCCACCGATTATAATAATCGGAGCAGGGTCAGCAGGAATAGCGGCTGCTGCCAGACTTTTCGAAAACAACTACACCAACGTGAAAATTTTGGAGGCCGAAAATCGAATTGGGGGCCGAATTCGCAGCGTTTTCTTCGGAGAGGCTTTCGTCGACCTTGGTGCAGAATCGTGTCACGGTACTAAAGATAACGTTGTGTATGACCTAGTCAAGGACTTTAACATTTTGCGGCATAGTGATGCTTCTAACGCGGTGTATTATTCCTCTAAGAAAACTATCACTAGGGAGTTTGGTGAAGAGATTATTAGTTTAATTGATTCGGTGTATGGGCCTGATGGTCACCGGAACGTGGTTGAAGGTAGAAGTCTTGGGTGGTACTGTATGAAGAAGTGGGTAGATCTGGATAAATCTAGAGTGTGTTTAACTTTTTTATTTAAGATATAACTCGACTATTTATGATAAGTACCAGAAAAATCCGGATAAGTTGGAAGTCGCTAAGTCTTCTATGGATCTGTTGCGTCATATCGTTTTGGATTATGAAGGGGCGTTTTCGTGGTTTGACCCATCAGCTAAAAGCGACTATACAGACTGTGAGGGTGATAAACAACTAAAATGGAACGGGATGGGCTACGAAACCATTTTAGACATCCTAATGAAAAAAATTCCTGATCCTGCTAAGCAGCTACCATTCAATCAAGCAGTATTATTAAACAAAGAAGTAACTAAAGTATTGTGGAACAAAAATTCTAGTCAAAATGGTGTTACCGTTGTGTGTTCAGATCGTACAAATTACACAGCCGACCATGTTATTTTAACCACGTCTATAGGTGTCCTCAAAGAAAGACAACGCAGTATGTTTATACCTTCATTACCCCGAGTTAAACGCGAAGCTATTAGACATATAGGTTTCGGAGCTGTGATGAAAATTGCCTTAAGGTTCAAAACAAAGTGGTGGGAAGACAATTTTTCGGGTTTTCTTCTAATCTGGAACGAATCGGATAAACTCCGAGTTCTTGAGGAGTTTCCGCAAGGTCCAATAAAGGTAACACGATTGTTAACTCGTTAAGATATTGATGGATATTTGCAGCGGGGACGCTCTTGGTTGACAGAATTATATAGTGTGTACCCGGTGGCTCATAATCCAAATGTGCTCATTGCATGGTTAACTGGTGAAGTGGTTCCTGAAGTTGAACGCATGGAGGAAGAAACGATGATACCAGGCATTGAGTATCTGCTTAAGAAGTTTATGGGGCATAAATACAACATTTCTAAACTAGATGCGATAATCAAGTGAGTGTTTATATAACCTTGACGTGTTTATTTCGTCCGTATTTGTAGGACCTCCTGGTATAGCAACCCCCACTTCAGAGGAAGCTATTCTTACCAAACCCCCAAAGCTCGTCGTAGTCAAGTCACAGCTGAAATGGAATTAGCTCAGCCTGTACTAAATAAAAATGGAAAACCGATTTTACAGTTTGCGGGAGAGGCCACGCATGCCTATTTTTATTCAACGGTGCATGGGGCAATAGAAACTGGATTTAGAGAGGCCGACAGAATTATTAATTTGTACAAATAATTTATTTTCAAGGAATGTGAAAGTTTGCGGTAGTTATTTATCTCAACAAATGTGCTTAAATAATGTTAATTAAGTGATGTTTTGTTTAAATAGCATAAACAGAGTCGTCTCGACTCTTTTTTCTTAACACGCGAGTTTATTGACCTGAAATTGATAGATGATGGTAATATAAGTTGTAGTGGCTCCGATGATCTAAAACATTTTTTTAAAGTACATAGTTTGAGATGAAGTGGTTAGGTGTTTGTTACTGTAAACGCGAAGGTTCCGTCTATTGGGAATAATCCAAGGGCTGTTAATGGTCTGGTTCTGTGTTTAATTTGAAGAGCAAACATTTTTAACTGAAAATAAGTTGAAATCGGAATTTAACCCAAGTCTGTGTTAGGTTTTACCTTTTCTTCAGTGTGTGTATCGGCGTGAATCATTAACTTACCAACCAAGTGTAGTATGGTTTGAGCCTAAAACAGGGTGGTAACAGAGCAATGAATAATACAGAATATTTTTCATGAGACTGCTTTAAGAGTCTCTATTATCTACAAAAACAAAACTTTACAATCTTCAAAATACTAACTTACTTCACTCGTTGTGATGTGTGCAGAAATTGCCTTTCTAGTTAACTCATAAATGCGAAATACAGCCCAAAAGAACCAGCCAAGTGTAGAAATCGGTCTAATGGAAATCTGCAAAAGTTAATTTTCGTCGTTTATTTGTACATTTTGAGACAATGTCTTGTATATAAAATTTATCATGCATATACTGCGAGATCAAAAATTGAACGAATTGGAGTTGGCGTCATTTGTCAAGCTTTAGGTGGTAGGTACTATTGCCCTCAATTTGGCCTAAATAATTTATTTTTGAAGGCTATTTTTCAATATTTTTATAAGTAAAATATATTAGTTTCCACTATAATAGCGAAACATTTGTCAATGTGATCCTTGAATTGTTGGTTGCATACTTTTCTTAAATTAAATTCTTTAAAACAGATGGTATGCTTGTGAAATTGCTTCTCATTGTTGTTTTAAATGAACAAAGACATGGTCCATCGGGCGACTGGTTACTTTCATGTTTTCTCAATGATTCATGGCCCATACAGTACTAAAAATAGGTCTGCGTTTCCGTCTGTCTTTCTGTCTCTCTGTCCGCCATCTGTGTTGATTTTTATAAGACAAATAATATCCGCAATTCTTGGACCGATTGTTGTCAAATTCCATGTATGTTTGGAATGTCATCTAGATGATAAAACGATAACTAAATTTTTCAATATAGTTTAAATTTTTTTCTTATTTGATTATTCAATTTTTCAATTTACTAATTTTTCAATCTACTAATTTTCCAATCTTGAAATTTTACAATTTTTCAATCTTTAATTTTTCGATTTTTCGATTTTATGCTATTTCGATTTCTCGACTTTTCGATTTCTCGATGTTTCGTTTCTTCGTTTGTAAGTTTTTCGATGTGTGGAAATTTTCGAGATTTCAGTTTGAGAATTTTCAACTTCTCGATTTTTCAGTTTTTCGATTCTTCAGTTTTTCAATTATGTACCTATTTATTTTTTTTTATTCTTACATTTTACGATTTTTTGATGCTCGATGTAGCCATTATTTAATTTTTAATACTTCAATTTTTCGATTTCTCTACATTTCGGTTTTTTAATATTTCGATTTTTCAGTGTTGGGACTTTGCGATTGTTCCATTCTTTAATTTTTCCATACTTCAATTTTCCAATTTTTGACGTTTCTAAATGTTCGATTTTTTAATTTCTCAATTTCTTGATTAATCGATTTTTTGATTTTTCGACCTTTCGATTAATTAATTTTTCGATGATACGACTTTTCAATTTTTTTATTTTCCTATTTCTCGAAAGCCAAATGAAAGGAAATGAAATGAAATGATTCGATTTTTCGAGTTTCGATTTGTCAATTTTTCCATTCTTTAGTTTTACGCTTTTTCAGGTTTATGATTTTTTTATGTTTCGTTTTCTTAAAGTTTCGATTTTTTACCTCAATTTTTCGACTATTCGATTTCTCGATTTTTCAATTTTTCGATGTTTCAGTGTTTGTATTTTTTAGTTTATCGATTCTTCAATTTTTCTTCAATTTTTCAATTTTTAGATAATTCAGTTTTCCCATTTTTGAGTTATTCAATTTTTAAAACTTATACATTTGACGACTTTTTTGATGTTTTGATTTATCTTTTGTTTAATTTTTATGCTCAATTTTTCGATTACTCGACATTTCGGATTTTCGATTTCTAAAATTTTTCGATTACTCGATTTACCGATTTTTCGATCTTTCGCTTTCTCAGTTTTTCAACATTTCAATTTTGGAAAATTTTCCATTTCTGATCTTTTCAGTTTTTCTATATTTTAAATTTTAGATTTTTCAATTTCTGTATGCTTTTGTTGCTCGATCTTTCGTTTTTTCGACTTTTTGGATTTCGCTATTTCGGTTTTTAAATTTTTCGATTTTTAAATTTTTTGATTTTTCGATTTCTCAGTTTTCCGGTGTCTCCATAATACGCTTTCTTAATTTTTCGATTCAAAAATTTTTCGATTTTTCAATTTCCCAATTTTTGACGTTTCTGATTTTCGATTTTTCGGTTTCTCAATGTCTTGATTATTTCGACTTTTCGATTAAACGATTTTTCGATTTTTTTATTTTCCCATTTCTCGAGAGCCAGAATTTTCGATGAAAATGGAATGAAATGATTCGATTTCTTGAGTTCCGATTTCTTAATTTTTCAATTCTTTAATTTTACGATTTTTCAGCTTTATGATTTTTCAATGTTTCGTTTTGATAAATTTTCGATTTTTCTACCTCAATTTCTCGATTTTTCAATTTTTCGATTTTTCAGATTTTCGATGTCTCAGTTTTTGTATTTTTTTAGTTTATCGATTCTTCAATTTTTCTTCGATTTTTCAATTTTTAGGAATTTCAGTTTTTCGATTCTTCATTTTTTCAGTTATTCAATTTTCAAAACTTTTACATTTTTCGATTTTTTTTGATATTTTGATTTAGCTATTATTTAATTTTTAATACTAAAATTTTCGATTTCTCGACATTTCGGTTTTTCGATTTTCATTAATCCATTTCTCTATTTTTCGAGCTTTCGAATTCTCAATTTTTCAACATTTCAATTGTGGAAAATTTTGAATTTATGGCCTTTTCAGTTTTTCGATTTTTTAAATTTTAGATTTTTCAATTTCTGATTGCTCGAGCTTTCGATTTTTCGACTTTTTGAATTTCTCGATTTTCGAAATTTTTTCTTGTTCGATTTTTCAATTTTCCTGTGTTTCAATATTACGATTTTGTAACTTTTCGATTTCAAAATGTTTCGAATTATCAATTTTACAATTTTTGACGTTTCAGATTTTCGATTTTTCGGTTTCCCAATTTCTTGATTTTGTTTCGATTTTTAGATTAATTAATTTTTCGATTATACGACTTTTCAATTTTTTTATTTTCCATTTCTCCAGAGTTTTCGATCAAAATGAAATGAAATGATTTGATTTTTCGCGTTTCGATTTCTTAATTTTTCAATTCTTTAATTTTAAGATTTTTCAGCTTTATGATTTTTCAATGTTTATTTTTCTTAAATTTTCGATTTTCCACCTCAATTTCTCGATTTTTCAATTTTTCGATTTCTCAATTTTTCAGTGTTTCAGTTTTTGTATTTTTTAGTTTCTTTATTCTTCAATTTTTCTTCGATTTTTCAATTTTTAGATATTCAAGTTTTAGCATTTTTCAGTTATTCAATTTTTAAAACTTTTACATTTGACGATTTTTTTGGTGTTTTGATTTAGCTTTTGTTTAATTTTTATACTCAATTTTTCGATTTCTCGACATTTCGGTTTTTCGATTTCTAAAATTTTTCGATTATTCGACTTCTCGATTTTTCGATCTTTCGCTTTCTCAGTTGTTCAACATTTCAATTTTGGAAAATTTTCAATTTCTAACCTTTTCAGTTTTTCGATATTTTAAATTTTAGATTTTTCAATTTCTGTATGTTTCTGTTGCTCGATCTTCCGATTTTTCGACTTTTTGGATTTCGATATTTCGGTTTTTAAATTTTTCGATTTTTAAAATTTTTGATTTTTCAATTTCTAAGTTTTCTGGTGTCTCAATATTGCGCTATTTTAATTTTTCGATTCTAAAATTTTTCGATTTTTCAATTTCCCAATATTTGACGTTTGTGATTTTTGATGTTTCGGTTTCTCAATTTCTCGATTTTTTTCGGCTTTTCAATTAATTGATTTCTCGATTATACGATTTTTCGATGTTTTTATTTTCCCATTTCTCGAGACCCAGAGTTTTTGATGAAATTGGAATGAAATAATTCGATTTTTTGAATTTCGATTTCTCAATTTTTCAATTCTTTAATTTTACGATTTTTCAGGTTTATGATTTACCAAAGTTTGGCTTTTTTAAATTTTCAATTGTTCTACCTCAATTTTTCGACTATTCGATGGCTGTCAATTAATTGATTTTTTGATTATACGACTTTTCGATTTTTTTATATTTCCACTTCTCGAGAGCAGAGTTTTCGATGAAAATGGAATGAAATGATTCGATTTTTCGAGTTTTGATTTCTCAATTTTTCAATTCTTTAATTTTACGATTTTTCAGGTTTATGAATTTTCAGTGTTTCGTTTTCTGAAATTTTCGATTTTTCGATCTCGATTTTCAACTATTCGATTTTTCAATTTTTAGATATTTCAGTTTTTCGATCCTTCACTTTTTCGATTATTCATTTGACGATTTTTCTGATGTTTCGATTTAGCTATTATTTAATTTTTAACACACTCAATTTTTCGATTCCTCGACATTTCGATTTTTCGATTTCTGAAATTTTTTGATTTTTTGATTTCTAGATTTTTCGAGCTTTCGATTTCTCGTTTTTTCAACATTTCAATTTTGGAAAATTGTCAATTTCTGGACTTTTCAGTTGTTAGATTTTTTTTAATTTTATGTTTCTGTTGCTCGATCTTCCGATTTTTCGGCTTTTTGGATTTCGATACTTCGGTTTCGACTTTCTCGATTTTTTAAATTTTTAATTGTTCAATTTTTCGGTGTTTCAATATTGCGATTTTTAATTTTTCGATTCCAAAATTTTTCGAATTATCAATTTTACAATTTTTGACGTTTCTAAATTTTCGATTTTCTGGTTTCTCACTTTCTCGATTATTTTTCGATTATTCGATTACTTGATTTTTTGATGATACGAATTTCAATTTTTTTATTTTCTCATATCTCGAAACCCCGACCTTACAATGATTCGATTTCTCAAGTTTTCAATTACTCAGTTTTTTAATTCTTTAATTTTTCGGTTTTTGAGGTTTGCGATTTTTCAGTTTTTCGTTTTCTTGAATTTTCGATTTTTCTACTTCAATTTTTTGATTATTCGATTTCCCAATTTTTCAATTTATTGATGTTTCAGTGTTTGTGTTTTTTAGTTGATCGATTCTTCAATTTTTTTTCGATTTTTAAATTTTTAGGTATTTCAATTCTTCGATTCTTCAAGCTTTCGATTTTTCAATGTTTCAACATTTCAATTTTGGAAAATTTTCAATTTCTGTATGTCTTTATTGCTCGATCCTCCGAGTTTTTTTTTAAATTTCTCAATTTATCAATTTTACAATTTTTGACGTTTCTAAATTTTCGATTTTTCGGTTTCTCAATTTTTCAATTCTTTAGTTTTACGATTTTACAGGTATATGATTTCTCAATGTTTCGTTTCCTTAAATTTTCGACTTTTCTACCTAAATTTTTCGACTATTCCATTTTTCGATGTTTCTGTTTTTCGGACCTTCACTTTTTCAATTATTCATTTTTTAAAACTTTTACATTTGACGATTTTTTTTGATGTTTTGATTTAGCTATTATTTAATTTTTAATATTCTCAAATTCTCGATTTCTCGACATTTCAGTTTCTTGATTTCTAAAATTTTTCGATTTTTTGATTTCCCGATTTTTCGAGCTTTCGATTTCTCAATTTTTCAACGTTTCAATTTTCGAAAATTTTCAATTTCTGGATCTCTAGATTTTGGATCTTTTGAATTTTAGATTTTTCAATTTCTATATGTTTCTATTGATCAATCTTCCGATTTTTCGACTTTTTGGATTTCGATATTTCGCTTTCTGAATTTCTCGATTTTTAAAATTTTTGATTGTTGAATTTTTCGATACGATTTCTCGAGCTTTCGATTACTCAGTTTTCCAGTTCTTTAATTATTCACGTTTTTCATTTTTCAGTGTTTCGTTTTCTTAAATTTTCAATTTTTCGACTGTTTGATTTCTCAGTTGTTAAATTTTTCAAGGCTTCAGTTTTGGAATTTTTTAATTTATGTAGATATTCTTCAATTTTTAGTCGACCTTTCAATTTTTCAGTTCATTAATTTTTCGATTTTTTGACTTTTCGTTTTCTCGATTATTCAGTTCTTCGATATTTCTTTTCAATTTATCGAATTTTTCAGTTTTTTGATGTTTCGATTTCTCGATCTTTCATTTTTTGGACTTCTCGATCTTAATTTTTCAGTTTTTCGATTTTTCAGTTATTCGATTTTTCGATTTATCAAGATTTGTGTGTTTCAATCTTTCGATTGTTCAATTTCTCAATCTTTCGATTCTTCAAATTTTCGATATTTGAGTTTTACGACTTTCCAATTTTTCGATTTTTCGATTTTAAAATTTTGCGATTTAGCAATTTTCCAAGTTTTGACGTTTCTCAGTGTTTCGGAAAGCTCAGGCGCCGTGGGAGTGTTATTTATTTTATCACTGTTATCAGAAAACAAACATCCTAACCTTTTTTAACAATTTTTCATAGTATGAAACTTATTCAAGTGTAAATATTTTAGAGTGACTGTGTTTACGTTAAACCAAACAATTAACTTACGCTATAGTAACAGTAGCAGAAGGCAAAAACGACAGTATTAAACTGAATAAGAGATCCCACTATCACCAAAAACCCAAAAACTTTGTTAACAACATCGTGCAAATCGCACAACTTATCGTGACACGCTATACAAATATCGAGAACCTTATCATCAGGCTTGGAATTCTTAATCAAATCTACAACAAAGTCAAAAATATAAGTACAAAAATAGCGACCAACCCACCACTAATAGCAAGCTTTTTCTCTTTCGTTATTCTTGCTTTATCCCTCAACGAACTCCTTTCACCCAGTTTCTTCAAAATCAAACCAATCGCCTCAAATCTCTTACTCAAAACAACATTACACGTCACAAATAAAGTTTCTCCATGATGGACTAAACTGAAACTGTAGAAATGACAGAAAAGCAAAATGGGAGGAAGCCGATCCATTTTTTCTTTTCCTCTTTTCATATTCCAAAGTTGCATCACCACATTACTCACAGTCAAAGCAGGACCGCTTAGATTGATAGCCAAGTAGGTGTAAAAATTGTGGTTGATTTTGTGCCCAATTTTGGTGAAAGTTTTGTCAATGGTGGCAACAGTGTTGAAAAAATTTTTGACGTGGTGTTTGTGGAAGTAGCCTTGGATGAGCAAAGCCCAAGTGCCCAAATCTCCTACAAGTGTCACCACCAAAGTTAGCAATTTTGCCAAAGTGTTGAAGTTGTAGAGAGTTCCGTCAGTGATTGGATTGAACGCCAACGTACTCATATATACCATAGTAGTGAACAAGACGAAATAAGTGAAAATAATAGCAGAACACCACTTATTCGTGGCGAGGATCACGCGTTTGCCTATTTTACTAAAATAGGTTGGAAAAATCCCCAGAAATAGGGCAATATAAATGCTGACACTAACGGATTCGTAAATATTTTGTTTCGTCATGGTGACAAATTCACTCTGGTGGTTTGTCCAGGCCAGACTCAAATTAAATTAAAATTACTCCCTTGGGTGGCATTATTTTATGATGTAGATTGTAATCGATGATGGTAGATATAAAAGTATCTCTTACATGTACCTTTCACTGGAATTAATAGATAGCAATTTGTAATGGTTCAACGTCTGAGTCATTTGACCAAATAAGCTAGACAAATATCAATGAACTCTTTTCAAGCCTACGTGTTATTTATTCACGAGGAAATCCCGTTCTACGAGGTATTCGTGCTTTTATGAGTTGAACATCTGTCGGTGCCAGGTGTTGGTTCAACTCGAAGGGGTGAATAATTTAGATAAGTGAAATGTTCAGGCAGCTGCTATAAAAAAACATTATTTAAGAACTTCATTATTTGTTAAATTTTACTCAGTAAGATGATTATTTCAATAATTATTGACTGATTTAGAAATGACATTTAATTTATCACGTGACATGTTCATGCAAGAATAGAATGAAATACGTTCAAAGAAAACAACACGCAGAGGAAAAACCAAGTCTTTGTGTCATGAAAGGAAGCAGCTGTGAACTTGAATACTTAAATGCAGGATAGATTCCAGTGAGATAAAACACAAGTGGGTATCCCAGTGGGCAAAAGCTTTTTTTTCACTAGAGGAATAAACAATTTTGCATTACACGTAACTGAAAACAACCTATACAGGGTCGCTTGAATGTATGGAAATGGTTAAATAAGTACAATCTTTTGAGCTTTCAGTGTTTTATTTTTTATGAATTTGAGTGCCGCACTGTTTTTTTTTTAATTCAGAAAACTCTTGGGTACTCATGGTGTATTATTTTAGGAGCCCATGGAGATTTTTTTGTAAATTATTTAAAACAATTTACAAAATCAGTCTTATCTTAGCAGGTACTAGCCCCGCCCACCCACCCTCTCTTTTCTTGGAAGGTATGTTATTTGCCAAAATCGATCTTATTTTAGGAGGTACTAACCCCGCCCACCCGCCCTCTCTTTTCTTAGAGGGTATTTCATAGGCCAAAATCAGTCTTATCTTAGCAGCCCTCTAAGAAAATAAAGAGCGGGTGTGTGGGGCGAATACGTGCCAAGATAAGACTGATTTTGCCCAATAATATGAAAAATTTAGAAATCGAAAAATCGAAAATTTAGAAACGTCAAAACTCAAAACTCTGTCATTAAAATATTTGAAGAATTGAAAAGAAATATCGAAGAACCGAGAAATCGAAAAAACGAAAAGTCAAAAAATCGTACTAAAAAATCGGAAAATTGAAAAATTGAAGAAAAGTTGAAGAATCGATTAACTAAAAAATCCCAAAACTGAACGTCGAAAAATTGAAAAATCAAGAAATCGAAAAATTGAGGTCAAAAAATCTAAAATTTGATAAACGAAACATTTTAAAAGTGAAAAAGCAAAAACCTGCAAAATAGAAAAATGAAAGAATTGAAAAACTGAGTAATCGTAAACTCGAAAAATGGGAAAATAAAAAAATCGAAAAATTTATCGAAAAATCAAGTAAGTTGAAAAAATTGAGAAATTGAGAAAGCGAAAAATCGAAAATTTGGAAACGTCAAAAACTGGAAAACTAAAAATCGAAAAATTAAAAAATCGTAATATTGAAACACCTGAAAATTGAAAAATTGAAAAATCAAGAAATCGAAAAATCAAAAAATTGAGGTCGAAAGATCTAAAATTTGAAAATCGAAAAATTTTAAAAGTGAAAAATTAAAAACCTGAAAAATCGAAAAATGAAAGAATTGAAAAACTGAGTAATCGTAAACTCGAAAAATGGGAAAATAAAAAAATCGAAAAATTCATCGAAAAATCAAGTAAGTTGAAAAAACCGAGAAATTGAGAAAGCGAAAAATCGAAAATTTGGAAACGTCAAAAACTGTAAAACTAAAAAATTGAAAAATTTTAGAATCGAAAAATTAAAAAATCGTTATATTGAAACACCTGAAAATTGAAAAATTGAAAAATCAAAAAATCGAAAAATCAAAAAATTGAGGTCGAAAAATCTAAAATTTGAAAAACAAAAAATTTTAAAAGTGAAAAATCAAAAACCTGAAAAATCGAAAAATGAAAGAATTTAAAAACTGAGTAATCGTAAACTCGAAAAATGGGAAAATAAAAAAATCGAAAAATTCATCGAAAAATCAAGTAAGTTGAAAAAATTGAGAAATTGAGAAAGCGAAAAATCGAAAATTTGGAAACGTCAAAAACTGGAAAACTAAAAAATCGAAAAATTGTAGAATGGAAGAATTCAAAAATCGTAATATTGAAACACCTGAAAATTGAAACATTGAAAAATCAAGAAATCGAAAATTCAAAAAATTGAGGTCGAAAAACCTAAAATTTGAAAAACAAAAAATTTTAAAAGTGAAAAATCAAAAACCTGAAAAATCGAAAAATGAAAGAATTGAAAAACTGAGTAATCGTAAACTCGAAAAATGGGAAAATAAAAAAATATCGAAAAATTCATCGAAAAATCAAGTAAGTTGAAAAAATTGAGAAATTGAGAAAGCGAAAAATCGAAAATTTGGAAACGTCAAAAACTGGAAAACTAAAAAATGGAAAAATTGTAGAATGGAAGAATTCAAAAATCGTAATATTGAAACACCTGAAAATTGAAACATTGAAAAATCAAGAAATCGAAAATTCAAAAAATTGAGGTCGAAAAATCTAAAATTTGAAAAACAAAAAATTTTAAAAGTGAAAAATCAAAAACCTGAAAAATCGAAAAATGAAAGAATTGAAAAACTGAGTAATCGTAAACTCGAAAAATGGGAAAATAAAAAAATATCGAAAAATTCATCGAAAAATCAAGTAAGTTGAAAAAATCGAGAAATTGAGAAAGCAGAAAATCGAAAATTTGGAAACGTCAAAAATTGGAACACTAAAAAATCGAAAAATTGTAGAATCGAAAAATTAAAAAATCGTAATATTGAAACACCTGAAAATTGAAAAATTGAAAAATCAAAAAATCGAAAAATAGAAAAATTGAGATCGAAAAATCTAAAATTAGAAAATCGAAAAATTTTAAAAGTGAAAAATTAAAAACCTGAAAAATCGAAAAATGGAAGAATTGAAAAACTGAGTAATCGTAAACTCGAAAAATGGGAAAATAAAAAAATCGAAAAATTCATCGAAAAATCAAATAAGTTGAAAAAATCGAGAAATTGAGAAAGCGAAAAATCGAAAATTTGGAAACGTCAAAAACTGGAAAACTAAAAAATCGATGAATTATAGAATCGAAAAATTAAAAAATCGTAAAATTGAAACACCTGAAAATTGAAAAATTGAAAAATCAAAAAATCGAAAAATCAAAAAATTGAGATCGAAAAATCTAAAATTTGAAAAACGAAACATTTTAAAAGTGAAAAATCAAAAACCTGAAAAATTGAAAAATGAAAGAATTGAAAAACTGAGTAATCGTAAACTCGAAAAATGGGAAAATAAAAAAATCGAAAAATTCATCGAAAAATCAAGTAAGTTGAAAAAATCGAAAAATTGAGAAAGCGGAAAATCGAAAATTTGGAAACGTCAAAAACTGGAAAACTAAAAAATCGATAAATTGCAGAATCGAAAAATTAAAAAATCGTAATATTGAAACACCTGAAAATAAAAAAATTGAAAAATCAAGAAATCGAAAAATCAAAAAATTGAGGTCGAAAAATCTAAAATTTGAAAAACGAAAAATTTTAAAAGTGAAAAATCAAAAACCTGATAAATAGAAAAATGAAAGAATTGAAAAACTGAGTAATCGTAAAGTCGAAAAATGGGAAAATAAAAAAATCGAAAAATTCATCGAAAAATCAAATAAGTTGAAAAAATCGAGAAATTGAGAAAGCGAAAAATCGAAAATTTGGAAACGTCAAAAACTGGAAAACTAAAAAATCGATAAATTGTAGAATCGAAAAATTAAAAAATCGTAATACATACTGAAACACCTGAAAATTGAAAAATTGAAAAATCAAAAAATCGAAAAATCAAAAAATTGAGGTCGAAAAATCTAAAATTTGAAAAACAAAAAATTTTAAAAGTGAAAAATCAAAAACCTGAAAAATCGAAAAATGAAAGAATTGAAAAACTGAGTAATCGTAAACTCGAAAAATGGGAAAATAAAAAAATCGAAAAATTCATCGAAAAATCAAATAAGTTGAAAAAATCGAGAAATTGAGAAAGCGAAAAATCGAAAATTTGGAAACGTCAAAAACTGGAAAACTAAAAAATCGATGAATTATAGAATCGAAAAATTAAAAAATCGTAAAATTGAAACACCTGAAAATTGAAAAATTGAAAAATCAAAAAAATCGAAAAATCAAAAAATTGAGATCGAAAAATCTAAAATTTGAAAAACGAAACATTTTAAAAGTGAAAAATCAAAAACCTGAAAAATTGAAAAATGAAAGAATTGAAAAACTGAGTAATCGTAAACTCGAAAAATGGGAAAATAAAAAAATCGAAAAATTCATCGAAAAATCAAGTAAGTTGAAAAAATCGAAAAATTGAGAAAGCGGAAAATCGAAAATTTGGAAACGTCAAAAACTGGAAAACTAAAAAATCGATAAATTGCAGAATCGAAAAATTAAAAAATCGTAATATTGAAACACCTGAAAATAAAAAAATTGAAAAATCAAGAAATCGAAAAATCAAAAAATTGAGGTCGAAAAATCTAAAATTTGAATAACGAAAAATTTTAAAAGTGAAAAATCAAAAACCTGAAAAATAGAAAAATGAAAGAATTGAAAAACTGAGTAATCGTAAAGTCGAAAAATGGGAAAATAAAAAAATCGAAAAATTCATCGAAAAATCAAATAAGTTGAAAAAATCGAGAAATTGAGAAAGCGAAAAATCGAAAATTTGGAAACGTCAAAAACTGGAAAACTAAAAAATCGATAAATTGTAGAATCGAAAAATTAAAAAATCGTAATACATACTGAAACACCTGAAAATTGAAAAATTGAAAAATCAAAAAATCG